AAATATTTTCTGAAGTCTAGTCGGAATTGGTGAACAATTCCTCCGGAATCAGCGGAGCTTTGCTGGCCAGCTAGATAATAGCATAGATAATATAATTTCCTACTTCTACAGAAAGTGTTGTACCCGAAGACGAAAGGTGATGCGATGTCTCACGACAGTTACTTCTGCCAGCAATACCCAGATGGCTTCAGACCTTTCCCGATCCAGCGTGAGAACGGACATTACTTAGGGAATTACATGTGAGCTCACCATTCACCACTTTTTCATCTCATGCTTTATAGATGGACGATAGGCCCCACAGCCTGTCGCCCCCTTTTATATGGGGCAACGTAGGAGGTGGCAGAGGTGGCGTTTGTCCGGAGCAAATGCCCGAGGTTTAACCTCTAGCGAGCTTTTCAGGTGGGAGCTTGGAACATCTGGTCTTTGCGGCAGGAAGAGAGATTACTCCTGCTATCGAGGCACGGTCAGTATGGGTGGGCACACCTACTACTGGTCGGGCGAGGCGATGGCCATCATTCCAGAAAGTAGCCATAGCCATCTACAGCCGACTTCAACCTTCGGTAGTAGAGTGTCTGATTGATGAGCGTATTGAGACTGAAGCACGCATTTGGCCTTGTCTCTTATTCCTACACATGTATGTAAACTTGATCTGCAAGAGGCGTTCTATGCCAAACTCACATTTGTGGAGGACAAATGCCCACAGCGAGACATTCGAATTGTACTGGTCGACTTCAATGCGGTATCTAGCTCTGATTGAGCTGGCTACAAGATGTCTGTCGGTCCCCACGGCTCGGAAGCTGATCTCGGAAGCGAGAACAGCCTCCTTCTCTGGGACTTTGCTAGGTCCCAGAGAATGAGGATTTCTGGCTCCTGGTCTCAACGCTCCAACCCGCATCGCTGGACTTGGTACAGCGATATGGGTATTGTGGCCAAGGAGATCGACCACATCCTTGTTAGCACTCACTGGAGGATCCTTCAGAACTGCAGGGTTTACAGGAATGCCGAGTTCTGTGGTACTGACCATGGATTGGTAGCGGCCATGCAAGTTCACTTCAAATCCCACCCCGTTTCTCCAGTGGCCACTCTAGGCTGTTTCACCTGGACAGATTGGAGGAAGAGGAGTGTGCACGCAGATTCGCTGCAGCAATCTATGGTCAGATGACAGTGCTTGAAAAGCTGACAGACCCGGTAGCCCTATGGGATTCCTTTAAGCATAAAACACGATGCAGCCCAGGAGGCTATTGGTGAATGCCCAAGGACATGGTAGAATTTCATCTTGCTGGAGACGGAGGCCACAGATGCATGTTGCATGGCTCGTCTGAGTGGCAATTGGGATTTGCACCGTTCCTTGGTGTGCAGGGCTTGGACTCTGCTGAGGAGGGATAAGGACGTTCATCAGAATCTTGCCGAGGAGGTTGAAAGCCATTCCTAGTAAATGACCTTCGTCCTGCCCACCAAGCCCTGAGAACACTCCAATCCCTCCTCACGGATGTCTGCAGTCTGCTCAGTGGATGGACGGATCACCTCAGATCATGTTGGGGTTTGTGAACGTTGGGCTGAATATTTTGAACAATTATATCAGGTAGACCCCCCAGCAGTTAGTCAATCCCTGTTCCTGACCCACCTCTCTCTAAGCTGAAGGGAGAGAAAGCTGCAGGCATATGCGATATCTCTGCTGAAATGCTAAAGGCCGTGGGGGAGCCTATGGCACAGGGCTTGCATGCTGTCCTGGCTGCCATCAGGCAGTCCGGTTCCATTCCTCCTGACCTGTTGAGGGGCGTGTTCATCCCTCTCTGGAAGGGGAAAGAGGACCGCTGGGACTGTAGCAACTACCATGGCATCACATTACTCAGGCAAGGATTTCGCCCACATTCTTCTGAAGCGGATCCGCAAGCACCCTTTAAGGCACCAAAGACCAGCAGCAATTTGTAGATCGTCCCCGTGAGTTTGGTCGTGGGCTGCTCACAACGTACATCGACCTCAAGACGGCGTTTGATTTGGTGCATCCTGAGACGGATTAGTGGATTAACAGCAAGTCTATATTCTGGTAATGAAAGTGCTGTAATGTGTGGTGTGGGCCTGTCGAGTTTCTTCCCTGTTAACTCAGGAGTGAGGCATGGCTGTGTCCTTGCACCAACACTTCTCAGCACTTGCATGGACTGGATAATGGGCAAAGCTACCTTCCAAAGTCAGTGTAGAGCAACATTGGGCAAAATCAAGGTCACGGACCTTGACTTTGCTGACGACATTGCAATTCTATCTGGAATCTCTGGTAGCGGCTCTTGGTGCATTTAGCAATGAGGCGAAGCCCCTGAGCTTGCAGGTCTCCTGGACTAAGACCAAGATTCAAGATTTTGGGGCCTGCTAGGAGAACCCTTTCGTTTCCCTGTGGATGACCCTGTCCATCAGGTTGTCTCTACAGGAGACAAGCCTGCGTGGGGGAGGCCTGTGGAAAGACCTAGGATGTGGCTTGGGCAGCTCGACCAGACTTGTCATTAGGAACTAAAGATGGGCCGAGGGCCTGCCTGACGACCCGCCATGAGGGAAGGTTGGATGCGGCTATGCTCGCATGAGTTTATTCTCCCCTTTTCATCTCATATTTTATAGTTTCCTAAAAGAGTGATGTTAGGATATAAGCTGTTTCGTTGGAAATCAGCAGTATTTTGCCAGTTCGAAACGAATGCTTATTTTCAATTTCATTATTATGATCAGTTATATTTTTGAATGGGACAGAAGTTTAACAAATCCTTATCCATTCTACCATTTTATTAAACCTGTAAAACATGTTATGTGCAAAATAATGCTTGGGCTGCAAGATTTCGAAGTGAAATATATTGTAATATACCAATGCGACAATAAGTAAGTATTTGATGTAGTTTTATAGTCGCAACAAAAATCCAATATAATTTTTTTTAATTAGAATCATTTAAATGGCTGACATGATTTTTCTTTAGCAGCATGAAATGAAATGGAAATAATATCGGTCTGTGATTCATTGTTACCGGTTGCTGAAACTTTCAAAATGGTTATCTCAGATTGAGACAAATGAGTTCTTTCATTATTTTGCTTTTATTTCCATTATTCTTCGTGCAGAAAATAGCAGTAGCGTTGCTTGAAGCTTTCCACAATCGTATCCATTACGAGCGAGGTCCATGTTTACATACAGTCCGAATCCCACGCAACCGGATAATTCTAATGACCAAAGGCATTTAATAGTCTTAGTGACTGTAATATATCAACAAATCAAGCTGTGCAGCCTTTTACGTGATATTTTGAATGTGTTAGGTTAAATCACTGCGATACAGACTGATTTCCAGGATATTCTACCCACCGCAGATAGTACCCTTCCACATGATTCGGACACGCTATTTTTTTCCCCCATTTTTCAGAGATTCTCATTAAAATGGCGGTCGCATTTTTCCTATGAATACCATATCGAAAGGCATACGATACGATTCGTAATTAATGAAAATACAAGTTCATGAGGCTCTGTATTTTTGATATAAGATATAAGCGAAGACATAAAAATACATCTCTTGTTCAGTGAAAAATCTTAATTTTCATTCTTACATTTTTCAACATTTGTCATAATGTATAAATCAGATATATTGTAATTAAAATTACGCATATGTTGATTAGGCTTCTGTTGATTGAACTTTCTTAAATAATATTAATTCATACGGAATAGAATGCGAAATCTTAGTTTACGCAGTAGATTCAGGATTATCGTTAAGCGCGTTTGAAAATTGTTATTCATTTTACGGGTGAGAGCCGAAGAAAATTGAAGAAATGAAAGTTGAAATTCCCACGAGAGGGAAGGGGTTAGATTAGAAATATCAGCAAAAATGAATTTGAACAGTTACTTAAAGCAGACTGTTCATTTATACTTCAGAAGGTTGTATTTTTGTTTTGTTTTTTTCAAAAGTGATGTGGTAAAATAACAACAATGGGTTGCGTGTCAGCGAGTGTGGCAATGCACATGCATCCATATTTCTTGTCTGTATGTATCGTATCTATATGTGACGAGAATGTATGTAAAACAAAAACAGATTATCGACTTTGATTCTTATTGATATCTGATGTACTTGTACCTTAATTATCTATTCTTCTCTATGAATTTCAGGGGCAGCCCAGACCAGGATCCTCTGTTTGTTAATCAGCCCTGCCCAGTGGCCTGCCGCCCAACGGATCATCAGAACTGGACCTACTGCTAACTATTGCCGCTAAAGACCTTGGTTGATAATGTTAAATAATCAGTTACTGCTGACTCAATCTTTCGTTAGTAATGACCCATTGCACTCTTTAGTGAAGGATTTCGTGTTGTTATCAATATCAGTGCGTTGATATTGATTCGTGTTTTATTGTTGTAAGCATCTCTACTTAGGAAGAAGGTCCAGTGAGCGATTTATTGTCTTGTTGGTCGAGTGGATAGTGAAAGTTTGGCGAAGGGCAGTGCTGGCGTCCTCCGGCTCTTCAAAATACGGGTCGCGATTCAGTGCTGGGTCAGTGGAGCGCCACTTAATTATCATCATGATACATAACATTTTTCATATGTGTGTGTGTGTGTGTGTGTGTGTGTGTGTGTGTGTGTGTGTGTGTGTGTGTGTGTGTGTGTGTGTGTGTGTGTGTGTGCATGTGTGTGAATAGGATCAATTTCTATCATGTAGGATATATGAAAACGAAAATAATCAGTTTTCCTTTATACAGGACATAGAAATCAAATTATTTTCATTTATGCAGGATGTTGAAATATTAGCTCCATGATAACAATGGAGCTAATTATGAATGTAAAGTGTTTATATGATTATAGTCTGTAATATCAGTGTTCAGGATAATTGTTTACAACTAGATAATCATAGTACCCACACTTTTGTTTTGTTTGTTTGCTATCTCTGTTTTGTTGAAGTTTTGGTGTTATTGTTCTTGGAATCACTGGCAATGAGCTAAAGGACGCTCAGACAAGCTCCGCCTATTTGTCCACACCAAACTCGTTTCCAACATGTTCCGGCCACTGGTTATTACCCTCGCTTTAAGACTTCCCTCTTTGGTCGCTGGTAGTCTTTCTCTGGCCAGGTCTTCCGGTCATTGGATTATACGCTGTAATACTTTTCGCCTCAAAGAGTGCATCACCTCCATCAAGGGAATAGGGTCACTCATGCAATAAAGATATTTGCACTTGAAGAATTGCATTAAAATCACCTCTTTCTCAAGTGCACTGGTGTCTCATAAAGTGCCTGGATCCGGGTCATGATCCGAATCGACACCAAAACTTAATGTCATCTAAGTTAGGCTAAGACACAATTCTGGTAAAAAAAAAAAAAAAAAAAAAAAAAAAAAAAAAAAAAAAAAAAAAAAATGTTTATAACTTTTTGCGTTATCCTGTTAACCAACTTCGATCCGGGTCATGATCTGGATCACCAAAGTTTAATGGGATCTTGCTTGGCAAAGACACACTACTGATAAAATTTTAATTAAAAATCTGTTCATAGCCTTCTGCGTTGTCCTGCTAACCAAGTGACCAACGCTACCAAAAACATGACCTTGTCGGAGGTAACAAATGAAAAATAGTGTTAAGAACGATGAAAATAACAGCAATAAACATAATAATAATAAAAAATAATAATAACCATAATAATATATCAGTGATTATAATGAAACATTAATAGTTCTAACTGTAATCATTTGTTGATTATGATAACGATAATAATGGCAATGATAATAACTTTAATGACGAAACAACTGTCATTCATGATAAATATGATTATAAGTTATGATAATGGTAATAACTACAATTTCCATTTTGCTTCATAAATCTACTCTTTCATTAATTGTCATTCAATACCTTTTCTTTTCGTTTTTTGTAAACATTAGAAATAAAGATATATTGTATACTGCTTCGAGCAAAGGATAAACTATTTTCGTGGTCGTAGATAAATGTATTTTCAAAATGGTAATGACAAGTATACAGATAATACTAACAGCCATAATGACAACAATGGTAATGGCTTCTGCGGTACGTGGAGAAATATATATATATATATATATATATATATATATATATATATATATATATATATATATATATATATATATATATATATATATATATACACACACACTGTATATATATAACTGTGTATTTGTGGATATATGTTTATATATACATATATAATATTCATACATACATACGATAATAATGATAATAATGACCATGAAAATGATGATGATACTGAAAATGACAATAATAGTATTAGCAATAATGATATTAAATAATAATCCTAATTATAAGGATGAATATTAATGTAATAACAGGAATGGTAACGATGATAATGATAATACTTGCACCAACAAAATGCATGAGTAGGATGATAATTGCTAATGATTAACAGAAGCTAATGCATGACAATTTGAATGATTACAAAAATAAACATGAATAAGAATTACGAGATTACGTAAAAAAAAAAAACAGTAAGGAAAAGAAAACAAGCAATATAGTGAATAAAGATGCAATAAAAACGAAAAAGGGCAAAGGGTACGTGACAAGCCAAGAATCGAGACAGATCAAGCCAACAATAGGACTTTGGAGAATTTGGTAACAATGAGAAAAATGATGGCTTGAGATATAGAAATATTTGGCAAAATCGATGGTATGTATTACAAAAAGCAGAGGAACTAAATTAGAAACTTAATTTTAAACATATACAGAGTATTTTCCCATGGATTATCAATTTCTTTAACATAAATCATTGGCACTGAAGTACAGATCTTCAGCAAGTAATTTTACACAATCAGTGAAATTGCTACTAGAATACATAGTTTCAAATTCAGCAAATGACTGAATATTAGATTTATAAGAAAAAGAAAAAGAAAAGAAAATACAAATATAAAGTTTCAGTACAAAATTACAGTTTAAGTTAAAAAAAAACACTGAGTTTAAGTATTAAAGTACAACATTTGAAGTACAAAAATACAACTTTAAGTAAAATACAAATACAATTTGCAAATTACCTTTAACTCAAAACAAGTAAAAATGATTAAATAAAGTAATTGCCACAGAACAATTGGATTCTTTAATTATAATTATACACTGATATGATACATAAAAACATACAATGCTTAAAATCAAAGACTGCAATTACTACAGAATACAAAGAGAACAATAATGCAAAATTTCAAATTCTGTAATATGAAATTACAAATTGCCATCTTTAATGCAACGAAAGAACAATGAATACTTTGTTACAAGGGAACCAAACTGATATCTGTGAATTAAATAAAACTGATTCACAAATCACTAAGAACGGGATTAGCTTCACTAACGTCAACAGGAATGTCCAAAACATTTTGTGCTTCATTAGAAACAGTTGAAGCACGAGAATCATTTCCTGCATTTCCAGGTGAAAGGGTAAGAACAAGGATTTTTGAAACCTCTTCATCTCCTTCTTGACCTATATTTGGAGCGGTAATTTTAGGAGTAGAAGCAGAGTCATCCTGGACTATAGGAGGATTTCACCTTCAGATCCTAATGTAGGAGCAACAAAGGCGTCATAAGAGTCAATCTCAGAATCACTGGATTCCTTAGAATCAACAATTTCTAAATCATACAAAAGCTGGACTGGCTTTGTATAAACCCTTGGCAGTTTTAACACTAACACGTTCCATCACTGCCAGGGACAATGTTTCCACGACAACACCTAAAGGCCATTTAACCCTAGAAACATTGTCATCACTAATCATCATAACAGTGACCTTCTTTATGTTACAATTAGCCTCAATTTTTTTTAACAGGAGAAGGCAGATTCATGAGATAATCCTCATTCTAATTGCTCGAATAATTTCGAAAAATCGTAAATGAAAACGGAGTTACATGAGAGGATAAATATTGTATGCGATCGAGTGCCAACAAGAACATTTATGGTGCGAGCAACAACCATGGTTTTCGTTTTAAATAACGATAATCCGAAGTCACAATAATTGATTGTTATTCATGTTTGTTTTTTTAAATATTGGTGGACCTTGCTTTGTTTTGTTGCATTAATTATATTGTGATTCACATATCTGCAACAAAGAAAATTGGTTGCGAGCAAAAATGATCATATCAGCGACTCGAGATGGTCACTGAGAATTTGTATGTTATCCAATCTGGTGCTTTATTTGCCATACATATTTTCTATAAATGATATATAATGCCCAATGATTCCTCTCCTCTACATTAGGTATATTAGCCCTCATTTCCACTAACAAAACAATTGTTAGGATGCTAGAAAGTGCCACAAATTTCATTCGCGTTGCTATTGCCAGTCGCGACAGCAACTAACGAAAGACTGAGTCAGCAGTAACGGATTATTTAACATTATCTGCCGCGTCTACAACTAAGGTCTTCAGCGGCGATGGTTAGCAGTAGGTCCAGTCCTGATGATCCTTTGGACGGCAGGCCACTGGACAGGGTTGATTAGCAAACATAGGGTCGATCTCTACATCCCTGAAATCCAAAGAGACATTAAATAAAATACCTTTCATTCCCTCATTGAGTGCATGGAGGTATAAATAACAGTGGGTATACTTAATTCCTTCAAGGTGAGTACAAAATACAGGCGTTTGGCTTGACTTCCACTGCGAGCAATTCCACTTGAGAATTATTCATGGATAAACATAATCGCCCACTCTTATCCACAGAGCTATTTTGATGATTATCCAATGAAAATATAACCATTAATATCATTATTTACAAGATTTTATGAAAACTGAGAAGGCCAAAATGATCATAAAACATCCGTAACTTTCGTGACGCCATCAAAGTAAACAGACGCCATGACACCTCGAGTTGCTACTGATCTAGCCTTCCTCCTCGAGTTGCTACTGATCTATCCTTCCCCGTGTTTGCATGCTTTCGTTTATATCTTATATCAGAAATACAGGGCCTCATGGACTAATATTTTCATTAATCACAAATCGTGTCATACGTCTCTTGATATGGTATTCATGTACGGAGATGAATAAAATGCGACTGCGCCATTTAAGCCGTATCATTAAATAAACTTTCAGTCTATACGAGAAAAATCTGAAGTTAATAATGAGAATCTCATGTGGGATTGCACTAACTTCGGTGAGTAGACTATCTTGAAAATCGTTCTGTATCGCAATAATCTAACCTAATAGATTCAAAGTATCACAGGAAAGGCTGTACATCATGATTTGTCGATATAATACAGGCACTAAGACTAGTAAGTGCCTATGACCATTGGAATTGTTCGGTGGTGTGAGATTCGGACTGTATATAAGCATGGTCCTGAAAGGAAATAAGAAAATCTGATATGTATGAATCGGAGAAACACAAATTTTAAAGTTTCCATAATCGGTAACAATAAATCACAGACTGATCTTAATTCAAGTTTCCAAACTTCTTTGCTTCTAAAGGAAAATCATATCAGCCATTTAAATTATTTAATAATTTCTATGGATCTTTAAGATGTAGATTTTTTTTTCTTTTTTAGATTTTTATCTCAAATCACATTTCGATGACCTCGCGTTTTGTTGCGACTATAAAACTACATCAAATGATATATCAAAGTGTTTGGGGTTTTGGAATTAAAAAGTCAAATCAGACGTTTTTCGGTTAGATGCTGTTGCACTATTACTGGCCATTGATGTGGTGCATTAAATTATTTTGTACATATGTCTTGCCAGTTTAATACAGTGGTAGATTGGATAAGTATTCGTTAAAACTTCTGCCTTGCCATTAAAATAAATAACGGATCACAACAATGAGATTAAAAATAAGAAAAATGCTGCTGATTTCCAACGAAACGCCATACATTCCGACAACATTTTTGGGACAACTATAAAATATGAAAAGAAAAGGTGGTGAATGGTGAACCCACATGACATTCCCTATGAAATGGCCGTTCTCACGCTGGATCGGGAAAGGTCTGAAGCCATCTGGGAAGCGCTGGCAGAAGTAACTGTCGTGGGACATCGCATCACCTTTCGTCTTCGGGTACAACACTTTCTGTAGAAGTAGGAAATTATATTATCTATGCTATTATCTAGCTGGCCAGCAAAGCTCCGCTAATTCCGGAGGAATTGTTCACCAATTCCGATTAGACTTCAGAAAATATTTAGATGCTGAGTTGTTGAGTTGATGGTTAATAGGTAGTAACAGGCCAAAGAAATGTGCTCGTCACCAAAGGTAATACAGCACTGTGGGAAGGTAGAAGCGGAAGAGCAAAGAGGCGTAAAAGGAAAGAGGGCGAGTAAATAGGGTAAGGGAGGGACTAGCTAACTGGGAAAGGGGGATCTAAGGGCGATTAGACCACAGGGAGGATACATGTCCGGGAGATATATCAGCGTAGAACTATCACGAGACAACCAGTGAGTGTTTAAGGTTATGAACAGGCGTCGGAGAAGTAGGAGGCGGAAACTTCAGGGAAGGAGACAAGGGATCGGGAGGTATGTCGGGGGGGGGGGTCTAGGGACAAAAGGGAGCCACGTGTATGCCGTGGGAGTGGAAGGGAGGACGGGGAAGGAAGGAGATGGGGTACGTTGGGAGGAATGGGTGTAAGGGGATATATGAGAAAGAGGCTGGATGTCGCCAATCGTGTTTTAAGTCTTCTACTAATGATTTTGTTATTTTTATATGTAACGGGTCATTTTGAGAATGAAATGCATCTTATTTGATTTTATTTTGTATGTTGAAAAAGGATTCAATTTGTTCCTGGAGGCCCCAGGAACGGAGACTAATAAACAGTGTCAACTGGAACTTTGTTTGTGTCGCATCCCCCCTCTGCATATCTTCGTTAAAGGTTGTACTGGCTCCTGTTACGTGCCAAGGTTTGAATAAGTCTGGACGTGGTATATAAGCATTACCGAAGGCAAGACAAGAATATGCAGGGTAAATTAAGCAGAAATGAAGTCCAAACGGAGTCATGCAAGTACTCTTGTTGACCGAGTTCGTGGCTCCTGCTGCCAGACCAATCCATCCACTGACTTCTTGGTCTGAAAGCCCAGAGACATGGCCTGCGCTACCAAGGTATGTAAATCCCTCTATGTGTGTGTGTGTGTATATATATATATATATATATATATATATATATATATATATATATACTATCTATAATGTATATATATAAATATATAAATATATATATTATATATATACATACATATAGATATGTATATGTGCGTGTGTGTGTTTGTGTGTATGCCTGTGAGTGCAAAAGCTTACCGCTAAGATATGTTGATCAAAACCCTTGTGAAATTTCCCTCTGGCTTCTTCTATCAGTGTGCTTCTAATTGTAGCAAGCTCATTCCTGAATTCTGACACGTTACGCGTCTCGAGGTCCCAGCGGGCGCCCCACAGCCCTCCCATGATGGGAATTCCATGGTACGGATGGTCCCTCAGCAGGTGGAAGCTCTTGTTCCCCGCCATCCATTCCCTCACGGCTGCAGCGCTCGTTCCAGGAGCTTTGGTGAGAGAGTTTGGGAATTACATACATAAGAAAAAATGCTTACATAAACTGAATATTGCGAAAACAACACAAAAATGGTTACACAGTCCATTAATAAAATATTGCTAGAAAGGGAAAGTAATTCACGCAAACTCTGTTTGTGAGAAATAAATATGATAACATACAAATAACGCTAAAATATTACAGATACTAATAAAAGAAACAAATCTGGTAACACACTTAACCTCTTCACCCTATTTGGCATTCATTCTTGCCTAGGGACAGAGCCAGAGAATTTTCTGGTAGGGGGCACAGGGGGTAACAACAATAAATCTGCAGGGGGGGGGGGGCTCACCCAAAAGTAACAAAAGTTAAGGCTACCCACTTCAATATCTATATTGTACAGTTACACATTGTTTATGTTTTCATCTTGCTTTTCTTGGCCACATTACATCTGCTGGGTGTACTTTTACCAAGTGGTAGGCTAACTAACACACAGAACATTATGATGTTTGCTGTAGTTAGTCAGAAGTTGGTGTTTCTGGGTCTGTACAGTGAATATCAAAATATAAGCTTTTAGGTGCCACATGTTCACCGAAAAATACCTAAGAACACCACGTTAATAGCTTTTTTTCCTTTTCTTTTCTGGGGGGGGGGAGAAAAAAAGGAATATACATATAAACATATATGTATATATATAGGGGAATCACATCTTCTTTTCCTAGTGCCATTTTGTTATCTACAAATACCATGAATATTACTATAAAGGGAAAAAAAATATCACACGGTTATACATTGTTCATACACTACTAAAAGAAACAACCATGTTTACAAACTTCGAACTTACGATCGAATCTGAGTCTCGGACGAAGAACGCGGAGACCCTTTCGTCGCCAAGGGGCAGCGCTCTCCACACCATGTTGTGTATTGACGTCACATTTCCAAGCGAAGGCAAGTTGGTGACGTCACAGATGTACAAGTGAGGGAAATCGCGCAGGAGCGGGCAGAGGACATCTTCCCGGCCGCGAGGATTAGTGTAAAGCCACACGACCCAGTCGGGGTACATGGCTTTTGTCTGGAAAAGTCAAAAGGAGTTCTAGTGCATAACATCACAAAGGAAAACTGGCAACTCAACCCGGACTTTGGCAGCCTTGCTAATGTTACACACAGAAACGCACACACACACACACAAACACACACACACACACACACACATATATATATATATATATATATATATATATTATGAGGGGTAGAGGAATCATGCTTTTTCTTTCCATTACCATACCAGGCAGTGTTCAATTCAAATATTATCATTGTCTCTTTTAACGCTTAAAATCTTATGTCTATAGACAATGATATTTGCAAAGGCATACTTTTCCCTAGCCTTATATGCTGTGTGGATGGCCCCAAAATAAATTTTATAACAGCACAAACACCCTCATATGCACATGGAAAACAAAATGCACTTTACTATAACTCCATGAATAGATTTACTATGATTTTTTTTTTTTCGAAATTAGAGATGTTTTTCCTTTTCCATTTTCCAAAGAAGTCTGGACGATCTGGTCGAGGAGGACCTGGACGAGATCTGCGAAGACGTATGGACGAATACGCCACCGAGAAACACCTGGACGATCCTAAGTCGAGGAGGACCTAGGCAAGACCTTCGAGGACGTGTGGACGTCGGGGACATATGGATTCACCTAGAACCGAGAAGAAGAGGCCGACAAGGAGGAGCAACACGAGGATGGTCAAGGACAAGAACACGAGAACGAGATCACCAGCAGATCGGGTCTGATGATGGGTCGCCCTTGAGACAAATCCAATGACGCTTCGAGGGCGGGGCGTGAGTTGGTGGCCGAGCAGTTAGAACATACTGCATATACTGCATCATGCAAACTCAATGACCACGTGGGTACATGCTATTAGTCCAAACCACGTGGATGCCATGCCCTGCTTGCGCCCGCTGGTGCCCAAGCCACATTCTCCTTCCTCCGCCCATGACTTGTCGGATGTGTGACCCCAGCTTGACCCGAGAATACGCTCCCAGACGGAGCCTCCCCTTGTACCGCTCGGACCTCCCGCTCACCATCGGTTGTGTGTGTGTTTGTGTATACACACATGTATAAATATAAAAAAAACATATACATTATGACAGGCATAGAAGTCCATTTAGCTCACAGCATATGCCACATGAGTCCTCGTGGAACCACGTTGTTTGATGTGTGAGCTAATTAAATATGGCATGCACATAGGTACACACCAAACTGGGTACACACCAAACTAGGTACACACCAAACAACGGGTCACTGCAAACGAATACCCGTACATAAGGGCACACCGGTTTGACCAAGTTTCAGGAGAGAACAGGCAGAGAAATCGGCGATAGCACTGTTAACATGTCCTTCGGCCCCGCGACACCGCTCAAGATGGGTTGTTCTTGCTGACGGCTTGTAAAAGGTCCTGAACGCACACTCGGGTCACATGGAGTGATCCCCTGGATATCAAGATTTGCAGAGAACATGAGGTCAGAAATGAACGTTAATGTCCGTTGGTCACTCACCGCGTTCAGGTTCCTCCCGAACGCTCTCCAGTACAGCGGGTCGTTCCCGAACAGCGAGAAACTGATGACCTTCTGCCCTCCGCCTGCCAGCCACGCCCTCCGGCCACAGGCGCCGCCCGCGTCCTCCCACGAGAGGTTGCGACCCTGCTCTGGAAAGCACCATTTGCCGTGGCAAGGGCAGTCGCCTCCGTCCCACCAAGGCAACGGCTCCTGCTTGTCGCCAGAAAAGTGGCACATGGATGAAATAACAGATGAAGGAGTATCTGTATGTATTTATATGCATACATATATTCTAATTTTTTCATGCATATATTGGTATATTGCTTTATTCATTCATTTATGTATTTGTATATATATACATATGTACACACATACACACACACGCACACATATATGTGTGTATACAACATATATATATATATATATATATATATATATATATATATATGTGTGTGTGTGTGTGTGTGTGTGTGTGTGTGTGTGTGTGTGTGTGTGTGTGTGTGTGTGTGTGTGTGTGTGTGTGTGTGTGTGTGTGTATGTATGTAAATGAATGTGTGTATATATACATATTCAAACATATATATATATATATATATATATATATATATATATATATATATATATACATATATACACACATCTATATGTATATATTTTCATATATATACATGTACATGTATGCATGTATATATAAATGTACATATATATATATATATATATATATATAATATTATATATATATATATATATATATATATGTATGTATGTATGTATCTGTACACATGTATGTTTTTCATGAATCATAACATTGGAATCGGTTTATCTTTGATAGAAAATGTAAATATCTCGTGAGTAGTAGTGATGGTTAGTTCTCAGGGGAAAAAAAAAAATATATATATATATATATATATATATATATATATATATATATATATATATGAAAGATGAAATAATGCACTACCGCATTTATATCATGAATATATTAAC